GGTTCCACGATTCAAGGGACAGTTCTGACTGTTCCCTTGTGAGTCGAAAAGTCCTTTACCATTTTGCAATTTTCGCAATGATTAACGAGATATTAATTACTAAAATTGCCGAATATTGGTGTTCAATAATTTTTTACTAAAATACTGTCAATTTTACAGAAAAACAGTAAAAGACAAAAATTGCTTATTTTCTTCTCATAGAACTTTAAGAATTTTTTTAGAATTTTTGATCAACTTTTTAGTACTGTATTTTCTTTTTATTATTTTTACCAACATGAGAAAATATGGTTAAAAATTTTTTTTTAAATTCTCAGAATTTTATGAGAAGAAAATAAGCAATATTTCTCTTGCTGTTTTTGTGTAAAGTTGTTAGTCTTTGAGTAAAAAATTATTGAAGACCAATATTCAACAATTTTTAGTAATTAATATCTCATTAATCATTGCAAAAATTGCAAAATGGTACAAGATTTTTCGACTCAATTTTGTTCGCTCTATCTACAAAAAGCGTTTGGTAAAAGTCTCGCGGGACACCCTGTTTACTCAGAGTCAGTATACGGTGCAAGTATAACATATAATTAGCTGATATATGTACAAAGTACATATAATAGCGTATGTTTATTATCTGCGTATTGTCTGACACGCAAAGGTACTGCATACTGAAATGAATTGGAGATTAATTGAGCTCTTAACTGTTGCATATCTCATCATATTCACATATAATACAGTGGAACGATAATAAATAAATTATATGAGCTTATGTAGTAATATTAACATCAGTATCACAAATTAAACTAGAAAAATTTTTCTTTTACTATGTTTAGCAACTACTGCTTATCGAATTGTAGAATAAATGTGTTCTGAATTAAAAAATTTTTATTTATAAATTGAGATGAAAATTATTATATGTTTAACAGCAATTTTTAATTTTTAATATCGATAAATTATTGCGCAATTTTAAGTAAATTGTTTTTTTACATGGATTGTTATATATCTTACTTTATTATTTTTACGTGATTTCTTACGATGGCAGCGATTTGATAATGAACGTTGTTCGGGCTTCGTTTGAATCTTTTACCAGCCAATAGATCTTCTAGTCGCGACATAAGTATTTGGATTTGGCCACACGCATGAGTAACGAACAAAGCGGCCAATCCGCAGGCACCAACTGTCACTGCGTATACAGTATATCCGCACATGCAATGAGCCACATACACGATTTCGTATATTGGACTAATTTGTGATTGACTAAATTTACTATAGGTCGGATATACGAACGGTTTGATAGTTTGATTGTCAATTTTGTGTTCAACACAGAACGGTAGAATCAAGTGATAAATGATGCCAGCAGTGTACATGAAACACACGCCGATTATCGTCAGATTGCGACCGGTAGTAGCATACTTCAGCATCAGTTCGCGATCGGACTTGTATGTCACCTGTCACAGTATTGCTAATAACTTTTATTTACCGAGATAAATGAAAGATCAGCGTTTACCAGTTTTGCAGTGTAATTTTTCTTTAAATTAAAGTTTTAGCTGTGCGATGCGGAGAAAAGATTAATTAATCGTATATTTTGATTTATATTATATTAAATATATTTATATACAGATATATGTTCTAATGCACAAAATATATGTACTTTTAAAATAACGATAATAAGATCACAAGATCGAATTAATTTAAAATCAAGATCACTTTAAACGTGTGTTTCTAATCTTTTTTTACTTAAATAAGATTTTTAGTACCAGCTTGTAACAAACTCCACATTAACACGATATGTTATTAGCAACACCGACCTGCCACCAATCGTTCTTCACGTA